AGCCAATTGTTGACCTCTAGCTTTTAGCTGCTGCTGAAATGATTGTGCTGACATCTGTCTGCAGACACAGGATACTGTGAGTTTTGAAATCAAACACTCTAAAGTAAAAATAAAAAAACTATTTAGAAAAAATAAAATAAAATAAAATAAGGTAAATAATTCACTGGTGGCTCTTCTGGAAAACACACACAAAAAAAACTTGGAATTTATCAACATAACAGCAGTGCATAAGAAGCTAATTGATTTTTTTTCTAATGAAGGTGCAACAAATGAGAGTCAACTATTAGGGGAGTGCTGCCACCCAAACAGCCACTTCCTAATCTTCTGTCCTGTGAGTCATGCTGCTCATTAAAATGAACTTCACAGTCAAAACTATCAGAATAAGAGAGGCCAACAAAAGGGCAAACTAACAGGCAGCAAAGCAWCTAAGTGCTCTGTGTGTCTGCACTCTAACACAGGAATTTAAGATGAGCACATCTAAGATCTACCTCTCCATCAGAGGAGTGAGTCAGGCTTGGCCCAGATGGCTGCTGGAATACTGAGGTGACTTTTACTGGGTTCACAGGTTTGACTGCTCAGTTTTCTTCATTCTTGTCTTCCTTCCAAATGCACTCCATGTTTTATCCTTGACTCCTTTAAAATGTGGAGTACAAAGAGGATCCTGTGAAGCTTTGAATGGATTTACCCATATATTTAAATTAGAATTTTGTATAACATATATGTTTTATAGCACTCTGTAATTTTTTATTTTAGTCTTTTAATTTAGGCAGCTCTAGGTATTAAGGCAAGTGTGTTGACTTTGACATGACTTTTGACTTTATTGAACGTTTTGTAATAAAAGAAATGAACAAAGTTAAATTAATTTAAAACAAAAAGCAAACAAAACAACAACAATAGTGAATTATATTTACACTTTCAAAGGAGTGGGTAGAAGTATAAACTTGTTTTTTTACACCCACCCCTCATACATCTATCATCCATAATTACAATTTATAATAAATTCATAGTTTTCCCTCAAATTATGAAGTCCTTTGTTTTTAAGAAAAGCTTTTGAATGTTTTCTGGTAGGAAACTAGTTTTTTTTTTTGTTTTGAAAATCAAAGCAGGCATAAAGTCATGCAAGAKGAGAAAACTGACAAACTGGACCCACATCCAAATTTATCTTTAATTTCCATAGAAATTTGAATGTGACAAAGGTTCAGGTAAAAAAAAAAAGTCAAAATGCAGTAAAGGACAATMTCCACAGATGCTTTCCCTTGTAATAACCTAGTCTTCACAGTCCAGTTCACAGTGCCTGACCTTTGACCCAAAGCTGGCCATAACGTAATCCACCTTTATATCCGAACTCCTTAAGTCTAGTCTTAACCCCTAAAACCACCTTCTAAAGACTTAAAATTGTCCTCACTCTCTAAAAATGACCTTAATTTCAAGGTCTAAAACTCACTTTTGTGAGGAGGAAGTAAAAAGAAAGCACACACAAACATCAGAGGTAACAAAGCAGGACACACTAGAGCCTTATAAGGCCATGCTGTATTTTGTTATCTCTGCTCTGCTGGTGTCTGGACAAAACTCTTGGCATGCTTCGAGAGTTTTGGGGAAACTTGGATCAGAGGAACACACAAAAACGTTTCTTTCAAGTGTTTTCTGTCTGATATATGTGTGTGTTTAAAGAGATTTTGTCTTTAAATTATTTTTCGTGTCCGTAGAACAAACGAGTATAAACTGTAGTGTTTTCACTCATTTTGTTGGAGATTATATTTTCGAAGCTTCAAAGATTCCTTATTATAAATCTCCACAAAGACTTTTTATGGACTTAGTTTAAACATACATTTTAGAAAACTCTGATTAAGAATTTGTTGTCATAATGTTGCACTTTTCTGGCTACGTCTTGTGCTAAACGTAACTTTAACTCCAGTAAGTAACTTGTATAGCACTTGTACCCACAGTATGCTTCACAATTAAACAGGATAACACACGACGGAATATAAAAATACACTGATAAACAATAAAGCGTTAAAAAGACAACATTAAAACTCAGACAGCCATGTTCAAAGCCTGCTTAAAAAGGTGAGTTTTTAGCTGCCAGTGAATCCACAGCTCTTAGAGATCGAGGTGATACATTCCAAAATGTAGGAGTTACATTGTGAAATGCTCTATCCCCATGTGTCTTTAGTTGGGACCGAGGAACTAGTAGTAGATTGGAGTTACTAGACCCTATAAGTGTAGGTACCTATGGGAGAAGTAGATCTGCTGCCTTTTTCCAGCAGAGCCTCTATAGAACGGTTTAACTTGGCTGAGCTCTGTTCAACTGGTTTGGGTGGTTTTCCATTACGCTTCAATAGCCGTGTTTCCATCCAATTTTAATTCAAATTTTGAGTGAATTTTTAAAAATTCACAAAAAGGAAAAAACAAAGAAATGCAAATCAGACGTGTTTCCATCAATTGGCTTGAAGCGAATCAGTTACATCAGATGCATGCATGTAGTAAACAGGAAGTAAATGTCGCATCTCAGGAAAATGGAGAGAAGTTATCAGGAACTTGTTGCTACTGTAGGTAAAGTTGTAATTATTCTGTCATCAACTAGTTTTGGCGATTTTACATGCGGTCTGGAGGCGTAGAGAAAGAAATGCAATTCTTTTCACGTTACGGGATTAACTGAGAATACACCGACAGCGGGAGGAGTCGCGGTTGCAGTCGCTCTGGTATCGGTACCGGTATCGTTCAGACGGTTGGAACAGCTGATCAACATGTGAGGTAAAGGTTCGCTACATCAGAACTGATTCGGCAAATGTGTTTACATCTCTCCTTTTGCACATTAACTCTTTCGGAAAAAAAAAACCCCACATCAAACGAGCGTATCAACTTTTATGCAAATTAGAGGGAGTTTTTTTTTTTTCAAATCATGCTGTTTTCATCCACCTTTTCTGATGCAATACTTCAAAATGCGCATTACAAAACGCTGATGGAAACACGGTTAGTAACAGCTCAAGTGGGTGGGTTCATAGTAAGGTTGGGCAGTCCCAGAGTCTGAAAACTGACACTACACGCCTTATATGGTTAYGCTCCATTAASCWATTTGCCAGCCACCATTAAACACAGAAGAAGAAGACCTCCAAAAAATATGAAGCACAACAATAGAGGTAGTGTTATTGCAAATGGCAGAGCAGGTTGTAGTGAGAATGGCTCCTGTGACGCAACCAGTGACTCCACCCCTTAACCAATCAGTGACCGACAGTCTTCTGACTGCGTTTTCAGGCCAGCACRGTACACTTGGAACCACAGTGAAGTTCTGAAAAAAGAGTCTGGTTCCATGAATCCTTAATGGAAAAGCCTTGAGTGCCATGTGGAACCGTGCTGTGGAGGTGCAAAAGGGTTACATGCAGTGCTTTGTAAGTAATTGTAAAAAATTTAAACTGGATCTTAAACACAAGAAGCCAATAGTGTGAACATAACAGAGGAGTAATCTGAGCGCGTCTGCAGAATTTTGAACAGCTCGCAAACAATTCYGAGCAGAAACAGTGAGTGAAGAAAAATGTGCATTAGTCAATCCAAGAGGAAATGAAGGCATGAATAAGCATCTTTAGCTCTGCATCTGAAATGACAGTGTTTCTTAAATGGAAAAAACAGGATCTTGTCAGCTGTTTAACATATGTATCAAACAAGAGAGACTGATTTAATAGAACAACTCTCACATTTGAGTGGACATCTGAAAAGAGGTGCCCAAAAGTTTGCCTATTCATCATCACCTCTGTCKTGTYAGCATTTAACTGTAAAAMGTTTTCAGTCARCCAGTCCCTTATGTGAGTCTATGTATTAAATARGTTTCATTAGCCTTGAACGAAAAATGGAGGTAAACTACTTATATTTCTTTTCCAGTGGTTAAAGTTCACAATTTATCTAAGAGTGCATAATTTTTTTTCATTGAACAAGCTTATTCGTCAAAACTTTTCAGTTTTCACTCCATTATCATACAAACCCTAATCCAAGAAACAGAAGTTAACTTTATTTTTTGACTGTAAAATGTTTTCATTACTTACTGTTTAAGCTCATCTTAGGCTACCAGGAACTTTTCTTTTTTCTTTTGAGACGTTCACAGACATGAAACATCCACTCCTGTCTTTATTGGGCTCAATCAGTCAATCAGTTTCAACCACCTCATTTGGGTGTCAAACAAAAATAAGTTCCACAATGGAGGCTTAGGAGTTAGTTTCATCCTTCTGGCTGCCTGGAGCTTAGTTTTAGAGGATTTACTAAATCTGGAATTACAACTAGAATGCCAAATCTGAATGCCTTTCTTTGAAACTTTTCTAATTTTTTCTCCTTTCTCCTTTGTCCTCTTATACTAAGTAGAGGTAAAATCAGATTCTGTGTGTGTTTGTTGATTGTTAATGCTGTCATGTTCCAGAAAGTTACATGTATTCATTGTGAAGTCATGCAGACTGGTCAATCCAAGTCCAGCACTCAGRGACTATACATWATAAGGAAGGAKGGAGGCAGAGGACTAGTGGGCTTCAGGACCACTATACAGGATGAAACAACTCAGATCCTGGATTACGTCAGGAATGGTATGTAAAGTTGAGAAGTAGGATGAAAAAGCAGCTACAAACACAATCCAAAAAAGGTGTTTCTCAAAATAAGTTAGAATAATTCCATCTATATAAAAAATTGAGCAGCTACTATATGTTTATTTTAATATAKTCACACAAAAAGTACTTAAACCGTTTACATTGCCTGTCATTCACTTTGTAAAATTGTTAATTTATCATAATAATAAAATTTATTTCTGAATGCATGTAAAATTGGGTACCACAAAGAAAGAAATCAGAAAAGAACCTATACTTAAAACCTACATTCACACCCAACCACCTACCTAACAACCAAAACATGTTGCCTAAATGCCACAAATTATCCAGGATATATACAAATAAGATCATGAAATAATGATGAAAACTTGTGCTTATTTGTGTCTCAAAACATTAAACCAAATCAACAAACATTTGCTATGCACACATAAAGTAAAAACTTTCATAGTCAGATTTGCTAAACCACAAATACTCTCCTTTTGTCTCCATGGCACCACTCATGTCACAGTCTTCTACTATTTCTGTCTGATTCCAGTGTTTGAACTCGACGACATTATCATCCACCCAGAACCAGAACTGCAGGGCGCAGGTGTAGTGAAGGCCGAGCCACACAAAGGGACCGTTGGTCTTCTCAACCTCCAGCTCAGCAAAGGCCTGAGTCTGTTCATCGATGATGGAGGCCAGATCTCTGTGATTTTCTCTGCAGTAGTACAGTGCGTCCTCCCATGTCTTGTTTTTCTCTATCAGCTTAAAGGGTGATTCTTGAAAAGAGACAGAGAGAAAGAGAGAGAGAGAGAGAGAGAGAGAGAGAGAGAGAGAGAGAGAGAGAGAGAGAGAGAGAGA